ATGCAGGAAACAGCAGACAGAAATGAACATACCCCTCAACCTTCATGCTCAGTACTCAACTAGACCTCATCTATCTCTTAACAGTCCAGGGTCCCCAAATCAGGGAAGACTGGGTCTTTCGGGGGCTGGAGAGATGGTTCAGTGGTTAAGAGTACAGGCTGCTCTTCCAGAGGTCCTGAATTCAATTCCCAGCAACCACATGATGGCTCACAACCATCTATAATGAGATCTGGCTCCCTTTTCTGGCCTGTAGGCAAACATCCAGACAGAATGCTGTACACATAATAAATAAATAAATCTTAAAAAAATAAAAAAAAACTGGGTCTTTCTGTATCAATTAACAATCAAGGTTAACACCTCATAGACATGTTCAAAGGTCAATGTGATTTCTACAGTTCCTCAGAGGAGAGTCCAGTATTTCCAGGTTATGTCAGGTTGACAAAGCCAACCATCACAACGGTGCTCCCAAATTAAAAAAAAAAAATTATACAACAATCTCATCTTATACCACTAAAATAAAAGTTACTTTAAAACAAGAAAAGGTTGAGAAGGGGCTGAGTATGGTAGTGCACACCTTTACAGATCTCTGTGAGTTCAAGGCCAGACTCGGCTGCATGGTGAAAGACACTGTCAAAAAAAAAATGATGATAATAATAAAAATGGTTGAGGAGGGGCTGTAGTAGTTCTGTGATAGGCCCATCACCACACACAAAAAAAAAAACTTCCAAAATTTTCTCAAGTATAGACATTGCCAGGCTCAAGGAACGTCCTTGTACATCATTCTGTTTCCCAATTTTTTTTTTTTTTTTTTGGTTTTTCGAGACAGGGCTCTCTGTGTAACAACCCTAGCTGTCCTGGAACTAGCTCTAGTAGAGAAGGCTCGGAGTACTGGGGAGTACTGGAATTAAAGGCATGCGCCACCACAGCCCGACCTCTTCACTATCATCAAAGGTCTAAGGGGCGGCAAAGGGAACTACACAGCTTGTGTCTATTATGCAACCATACTGGCTCTCAAGAGAATGGGTTTAGCTTGTTCAGCAAACACAGACTGTCTACTTCTGCTGCTTGGCTGGCACTGCCCCAGGGACTGTGCTTATCCTGTGGGTTCCAGCTAGAAGCCAGCAAAGGAGCCCATCATGCAGACTAAAGGCAAACTCACATAAAGGAGTGGGCGCTCACTCCAAAACAAAACACAAAACCCAGGACTGTGCAGTCTGAACAACTGGCCAGTCCAGACTTCAGGTAGTGAGGTGGGGGATACACACTCGGGATCATCACAGCGCTGTTTGCTTAAGTGACACAGTGAAGCACAGAGCTGAGGTAGGGATGCTGTACCAGAGGAGTCCTGCCTGAGGGCAAAAGGATCTGGACAATTAGCTACCTCCAGAAATTCTTTTAACTAGGCTTATTGTTAGAAAGTTAACAAACTGGGGCCTTTGAAATGGCACAGTAGGCAAGGGCCCTTGCTCTCAAGCCTGGTGAACTGCGTTTCTCCATCCCTGAACCCACACAGTAGAAGGGGAGAACTGACTCTCCAAAGTTGACCTCTGGCTGGACAGTGGTAGCACACATCTTTAATTCCAGCACTTGAGAGGCAAGGGCAGGCAGATCTCTGTGAGTTCAAAGTCTGCACCACCATCGCCTGACAAGGTATTATGCAGCCAAGGCATATGAACTATGCTTCAGAGGATAATCCCAAATTCCTGATCTCCAGGTATTTTGTGTGGTATGTTTGTGTTTTGTTTTGTTCTGTTCTTATTTTTTTGTTGTTGTTTTTTTGTTTTTTGTTTGTTTTTTTGTTTTTTTTTTTTGTTTTTTTTTTTACAAGATATGGTTTCTCTGTACTTTTGAGCCTGTCCTGGAACTCGCTTTGTAGCCCATGCTGGCCTCAAACTCACAAAGATCTGCCTGTCTCTGAGTGCTGGGATTAAAGGCGTGCGCCACCACCGCCCGGTGAAGCACTTAAATATGAACTCACTCAGATGTCAAATATACACTATCTGCTGGGTTTGTAGCCAAGCAAGAGGAACTTGGAAGACTCGGAAACCAGCTTGAGCTACAGAATGAGGTCCTATCTCAAACAAAAACAGAAAGTAAAATATACTGTATGGCACATTATAAGTAATAAAAAAAAAAAAACATGAACTGGGTGAAAAAATATTTGTCTGACCTCAGAAAAAGTGTCTCACGGTAGAGTTCACCAAATGGTAAGACTTAGGCAGCAGTGGAATAGTAGAGAGAGCGCAGTAGCTGGGTGTCTAGCATACGCCAGGCCACGCGTGCCAAATGCATTCCATCTGTCCTCAGCACCAAAAATACAATGACAGGGACTGGAGAGATGGCTCAGCAGTTTAGAGCACTCGCTGTTCTTCCAGAAGACCCAGGTTCAGTTCACAACACCCACAGGGTAAATCCCAACAGTCTTAGCCCTAAGTGTCTCTGGCGCCAATTTCTAGGTGAATACCTACGCCCTCTTCTGGCCTCTAAGGACACCAGGCACTCAAGTGCTACACAGATACACATGCAGGCAAAACACCCATACACACATAAAAATAAAACTTTAAGCCGGGGGTGGTGACGCACACCTTTAATCCCAGCGCTCGGGAGGCAGAGACAGGTGGATCTCTCTGTGAGTTCTGGGCTAGCCTGGTCTACAGAGCAAGTTCCAGGACAGGCACCAAAGCTACAGAGAAACCCTCTCAAAAACAAACAAACAAAACACAGAACAAAACGAAAAAGCAATAATAAAAACATTCCTGGTGCCATTTCTCTCCGTTGTATGTCAATTTTAGGATGATCCTAAGAGGATCGTGTAAATTATTTGAATGGTCTAAAATGTGCAAGTCTATAGTTAGGAAGCCTTATCTTTTTTCATTATAGACTTTTTTCTTCGGTAGTGCCTTGAAGTCTCCTACACTCACCAGACGGCAGCTAGAATAGAAAGTAGAACGTAAGTGGAATTCCCGTGTCCTTCTGCTAAGTGTGCACTTCGAGTATTCCATCTTTTAACAGGACCCCTCTCTAATGCTAAGGTGCTCGAGGATGGCTCCAATCTTCCCCTTTCAAATGCAGCCTGACCCAGGGAGCAACGTGCATGTCCAAGTCTGCAACAAGACTAGTCCACCGAAGGAAAAAAGAAGGCCTTTTCCTGCAAGGAAACCTGGGTTAGATCACCTAGAACAGGGAGAAGAGAAACTAACGAGTCTGGCTCCTGGCACAACGTTGCGGGAGGGGAGCAGGACTGCCTTGGGTACTTCGGGAACATCTCCGAGACTCATACTCAAATAAGAGATTGTGGTTTAGAGTGTACCGAAGGACGGCGCAATGATTTAACTCTACTCCCAGCTGACCTCAGTCTGCAGGACTGCGCGGGATAACAAGCCCGAAAATACAAACCTGACCAAGATAAATGAAAAGATTAGGGGTACGAACTGTTCTAGCGTCTACTTGGGGCTCCGGACATAGGAGCAACAGGAGACAGATGGAGTTTTTCCGGGAGTCAACCAGCTCACTTAGCGAACCTTCTCAAAGAATACTCAGCCCCTAAAGACTCCAGGAGCGAGCCTGGCGTCTGCCCTCAATCAAGATGGCGACCAAGGCGCCTGCGCGCCAGGGCGCACGCGCACCCCTTCGCACGATCCTCCTCCGGTCCTGCCGATCGCCACCCCTCCCACTCGCCAGCTGCAGCACTTTGCGCGTCCCCAGCCTCACCCCTCTCTGGCGGGCCCCTCCTGACCAGGCTCCCGAGCCCGGAAGTGGATGTGGCCGCTTGGCAGAGAAGACGAGGGGGAGGGAGAAGTGCTTCCGGGGAAACGGGCCCCGGGTTGGTGTTTGTAAACTTGCCTCGGTCCCGGCGCGGGCAGCGGCGGCCGCGAGCTTGGCACCGGGTGCTTAGGGCCTGGAGGAGGCGCCGCGCGGCGGAGGAGACGGCGGGAGGCCACGCCGGGCAG